CTTTATTATACAACTAAATTTCTACAAATAGCAAGCCTAACATCGATTAGCATTCTCTACTAGCTAATCCATTAGATATGAGTAAAAACAGAAAGCGTTCGTAGGGAAAATGTAATTAAAATATATGCAACTAGCAACCCGGCCCGGCTTCGCACGGGTAGATAGAACTTTCGAAATTAATATATAGCATATGTTACTCTCTGATAATGTATCTTTTAAAAGGTGAAAAAAAATTAAAAATCGGTTGAGTAGTTTTTGAGTTTATCCATTACAAATAAACAATCAAATCTTTTCTCTTTGTGATATTAGTATAAACTTGAAATTATAATATAAATTTTATAAGTATTATAATTTTTGAGTAAAGAAGCACCTACCTGACTTTTAGCATAATCATGTACCAATGCAGACATCGTAAAAATGCGTACAAAATAAAATACTAAGCGAAACCAGTTGTGAGTTACTATACTGTTTGTAACATTTTTTAATCTCTATCAACTTTAATCATAAACGGTGGGTGTCCGTCATTACTAGTTCCCACTAATTGGACTGACACACCTACCGGTGTCAGGGGACATATTTTTTTCAAATTAAACGTGAGTTTTTAATATGACAACTCGTTGACACCCGATTTAAGCAGTTGGGCGGTTTAGTGAAAATGACGACTTTAAAAAAGCGTTTGAGAGCAGCTAACATGTGAACGTTGTTTGATCTCGTAAAAATATTACTGTTTTCAATTAAAACTGCATCGTTTTACATATATAATATAAGTCTATTTTATTTTTAATGGTACTTTTACGGGTACATATATAACGAATATAATTAAAATTCCATGCATTTAAAAAGTTTATGTGGTTTGATACTTTCTACTATCTACATTAAGTATAAATCACAAATTTTGATATCAAAATATTCCATAGTGTTTTTAATATTTATCATTATTATTAGTATTTATTTTAAACTATGACTCTACCTACTTTTCCTTTATATGATTGGCTGAAAATGCACATACAGACCTTTATGTAACCATTATTATATAATCTTTATCTTCTTCAATTTTGAATACACATATAACTTTAAAAATTTTGAAATAATAACTTATTAGAAAGTTCAATCTTAATTATATTGGATATCGTTTATTTAACAGATTTGAATAACGAGTCATTATGTATAATGTAATTAGTAAGAATTTAATTAAATAATTCAAATAAAAGCTATACGCATAGTATAGATAGCAGTATAATTTATTTGTTTTAATTTTTAAAAACAGAACGATGATTGCCGACCAATGAGACGCGTCCCCAACTGATTGTCAATTAGCGACATCAAACGGGCTTTTTGCGAATTAAGCGCGCGTTTTGTGTTCATTTTTTGTCCGGCAGTCGACGAGAGCGGACGCTTGATGAGTTTTTCCGTTTTGCAGTTTCATTTTCATATTTCCGTTTGTCTGAATGCGAGGGGGACTACAATGAGCTTACGCTTGTTGAGAGATTTAAATATTGATGATGCGTATAAATTACAGGTAGGATCCACTTGCGTAGGTATCATCTCACTCATCCATCCATCCTTATTTTACTGGAATAATTTTATTAATTGTTTTGTTTATTAATTAATGTTCTGCATTTTGCATTAATTTTTATTAAATTTTACTTTACAATGTATTTAAGTAATTAGGTATTAAGGGTCTATGTTTCAAAACTTGATTAAATATTAAATACAGTGCCTATTTAAGTTAAAACTAAATTATTAGTATTCGACTAATTTTAAAATTAATTTATTTTGTATGAATGAATTTCGTTTGATTAAATTTTAAAATCCTCTACTCTAAGCTTTATTATTAACGTAACATTACTTTTTTTTTCGATACAACGTTATTAGAAAATAAGTTATTTCTAATTAATTAAAGTTTTCTTGTTAACCAGACCAAATTCAAATACACGATCATTGAGTTTTTTGATACACAGTAATCACAGATCTCAGTAATCATATTATGGGCGTTTTCACATTAGGACTTATATTAAATAAGACATCTTTACTTAAATTCATTTTGATCTTGATCACTTAATTTGTTATGAAAATCATACATAAAACCAACTGAAATGCAATAACACGTTATGACTTTCTATACTAGCCTCAGTTCAAATAACCTGTATCTACAACTGAACTCTATCAAACAAAACAGTCTGGTTGAAAACAAATAACAACAAAACCTATGAAACGAACCAGCCAGTATCGAACTCCTATTTGAAATGGTTCCGGTACGGAGTCAACAAAGGGACGTTCTGTATTTGAAAAAAGCCCGCGAATGCGAACGCGGGTCCGCCATTAGCCGCTCCCATTTGCAGCGGCGCATCTATAGACGGTGGTGTGCCTCTTCAATCTGTACCGTCAACAATTGTAGGGTTGACGCAAAAAAAATAAAATTCCTTCTAGAATTTATCTATCTATCTATAATAGTAAAAATCTTGGCTACGAAAATATTCAAGGGATTTATTATATTTACAATTAATAATTATAATTTTTCATCACCATTTTCTATCGTAATCAGTAAGTACAGGTCTTAAGTTTGCCGTTTGATAAAGAGATAATAAGTTTAAAAAATGACAAGAAAAGTCTAAGGCCCGCCCATGATTCTTCATGGATCGTTTTTTTTTAGTACGTTTGTTCCGTTGTGGAACAGGCTAAGGTCGGAGACCATGCTGCCTAGTCTTCAATATGATAATTTGTCTGGAATTTAACTTCATGGATCGGTTTGTTTAAATAACTATGTACTAAAATATTCAATACTTTTATATTATTTTATGTATTTATGGTATCTACAATAGCATGTAAAATTTTAATGAATTTTACATAAAGTTATAGATATTTTTACTCTAGGTGTATCAAGATTTGAAATAAATAGAACTGTACAATCGACAACCCTATAGGAGAGGGAATGTGATCGAGTGTTGTTCGAGTTTTTATCGGTGATTCATTAGTATGAGAGTGTCTTTGTTACTGCCGGTACTGTGGCGCCCTCTATTTCTAGTTATATTATGCACATGGAAATAGCATTCATCAAACAAAAGCTTTCATCGGCTCTAGTACTATGTAAAGAACTGTTTACTTAATATTGAACAAACATATCTTAATTATCTACACATTAAAACACAGAAGAACACTGAGGGATAGATGTTTACAGAACAAAGTGTTACCTGTACACTTTAATTAGGTACTTAATGACAATTAATTGTATTTGTCAACAGAGTACTTTTAGATTTTTTTACTTTTTTGTTATATTTTCTTATACAAGTTCAACGATACAAAGACCTTAGATACACTTAACAGACAACAAAAGTGAAATCTCCATGTGAAATCTAATCTAAAGTACAACAAAATCCTTGCAAATGAGTATTGAAAGAATCGGGCTACAAATCTAATTTGCACAAGAAGGGTAAACAAAAACTGAGGTCCTTGTCGAGGGAGGAATCACAATGTGAAAGAATTCTCTCTTTATTTTAAATAAGGGTTAATACTGTTGCAGATATTTGCTATCCAGAATTATTTAGGATGTAAATTATAGTTTTTAAGTATTTTTATTTAAATGTGCTTATTTTACTACACCCAACAGGGATTACAGTCATGAACTTTCTTTTTATACTAGATAGGAAAAAAATCTGCGTAAATAATAAATATATAACTTTTATATAAAAGAAAAAAGTGTTCAAATAAAAAATTTCTTATCTACCTCTAATTGTAAGTAATGAGATGAGATGTTTGAGGTCAATATTGCGGGTGAATTATTCTTCAGCTATCATAATTCTTCAACGAATTATAGATATCTCTGAGCTATATAAGTTTCCAGCTATGTTGTATTCACATATCCGATTTTTCTAAAACGTTCATCATTGACATAAATATTAGAAATGTTAAAGTTGAGACAAATCTTTTCACTTAACAACTAAGCATCTATCAAATGATTATATTTTTGATAAATAATAAGTACTGTTGCGATCTTCTTTAAAGTTTATATATGTATATTTTTTGTTTTTTTTTTTCTTTTAAGCTTTTTTCTGTGAAACTGTCAATTTATATTTCTATACAGGAAACCAGGGCTTTCAATTACTTACAGTTCGTAATAGGTACTTTTATATACTATATAAAAAAATCAACTAGAATAATAACAGTGCCTAAACGTAAAATAACAAAACGGGAACAGACCCTCATTCTTCAGTCCCTTTGAGTCCGTGACCTCGCATGTAAAGCAGCTTGGACGCTGAAGGGTAGAAGTTTACAGAACAGTGTTGCATCTACACCTTAATTAGGTGGTTTTGATGTTTTAAAATTGATATATATTGTAATACAAATACCTATTTGTATATTTGTTTAATAACTGAAATGAAATAAAATAGAAACGAAGTGAAAAAAGTTATATTGAAAGGACATACATTGGTTTATTTACATTTCGAGAAAAAAAGTCCAACAATAAAGTAGAAAGTGAACTAACCTTGGTTTAATTTAAACAGAGTAGTATAATAAAACATACCTCATTGAAATCGGTCCACACATTTAAGAAACCAATAAAGGCTCGAACTTAGAATACCTTCATTTTTGCATTTACTATTCATGTATCTCTATTAAACAGTTATAGCGGATCTTAACACAAATTTAAAAAGGTGCTTACATATATATATATATTTATAGCTCTATATTTCTAACATTTATTATGTGACTGAAAAATTCAAAGTGAATTATGTTTGATTCTATCTCCATAAGATCTGGTATCCTATTTTTAATTATTCTACTTCTTTAAACAGGATTAAAAAGACCACTTTCTATGAATCATAATAGGATTTGTTTTGTATAATTCACCGAGTTTAATAGACCTTTTGTGTTGAAGATGTAATATTAACAAAGCTGTACATTTACATCGGCGGGTTATACAAAGCAAATTATTTTATGATTCATACACAGCGGTGCTTATAAGCGCCCCGGTCTTTTTTCATCAAGGTTTAAAAACATACCTTAGCTTGCTCCTGCTGTGATAGCAACTGTTCTCGAACCATTTGAAGCTGAAGGATCATCTCGGAGAGCTGCCTCTCCTTCTCTAGAACGCTTTCTCCCGCCAAAGCCTGAAGAGTCGCGCTGTCTAGGACGCCCCTTCGTTCACTGCGGACAAAATTAAGATAAAGTACTATATGTATATTATTTATACAAAGTTTCGTTTATTATAATCTTACAAACTAACATACAAAACAGGGTAAGAGTTCGTATTACTTTTTTCGTCAATAGTCTATGTTATTATATATATATATATATATATATATATATATATATATATATATATATATATATATATATATATATATATATATATATATATATATATATATATATATATATATCTATATATTAGTCATATAGAAATTAATAAGGAATATTTTGTATCCATTATGTATAGATATTTAAATTACTATTGAATAATGAAATAGTATGTTGTGTACCGAATTTGTAACATAATCGTATATATTGTGTACGCTAGTCGGAGATGATAAAGATGTGAGTAGACGAAGGCAGTTGAAGCGAGCTGAATTATTCATAACAACGGTAGATACTCCTTCCTGCCGAGTATCGCAACAACAAACAAAGATTGTGCATGATCCAAACTTCTACGTGTACGTTAGATGCTGCTAGATACTATTGGAACTCACTACATTCATGCATTTTCACATTAAATTAAATTTTAAATTTAGATGCGAGCGAGATATAACGTTCAGTAATTAAAAAAAAAAAACTTTCGGAAAAATGGTGAGCTAACTATCGATCCATGTTTTTTGAACTTTAAATGTTCCTCTTTGTTTGGCCAAATGTATTAAAGTAAGTATAATAATAATAGCATGATAAACAAATGTACGGTTTCTGTGATAGAATCATCAATTATAATAAAAAAAAACGCACTATTAAAAAAGTCGACTTCATTAATCAAAGTATTTGTAGAACGACACTTGATCTAGGTGTTATTTATCTAAGATTAACCTTCAACATTAGCAAAATTGACTAAAAAGTGACTGAACAAATAACATTTTTAATGTACTCGGACTAAAACTAATTTAGAAAACGTAATAATTTAGAAAATCGAAAAATAATTTTTTTTCTTAAATGAATCAACTTTAATATCAACGAAATTGTTATAAGCCTAACACGGGATTAAATACGATGTTTAAAAAATTAATTACCTAAATCGATTCACAATTGGCTAGAACACCACGTAATATAAACAAAAAGTGAAATCGAATTGAGAACCTTAGCCTTTTTTAAGTCGATTGAAAATAGTATTAAGGCTGTAATTTTATTTTTGTTCTTAGTAACAAATGGTAGGGGTACGATATAGTGACTACAAACAAATAGATCCGAGGACCGCCTTCCATTATTAATGTTGTGGAATTCACTATTCTAAGAAATTATGATGTAACGTTTTGCAATTTTCTATGTGTGCATCAAATTTGGTATAGTAATTTCTGCGGAATGCTAGAACAAACAAACAAAATAAAGGCCCTCAGGAATGGCAACGCATAAGGGGTTCCATGGGCGAAACAGTATACTCTGTTATGTCCATGGTACTGCTCATGTCTATAGGCGACGGTTACCACTTTCCATCATGGACCGTCAGCTTGTTTGCCATTCTAAGTTGTATAAAAAAATATATATATAAATAAAAAATTTAGACTCTACTGGAATTATTAAAATCCCTCATATTATTTTTTCTTAAATATTTCAATGTACTTACAGACATCGTCTAATTAAATTTTTATTATATTAGTAAGATAACTGTTTTAGATACTCTTGTTGTATATCATTTATTTAGTATTTTTAGAATCTAGTGTTTTTGAAATAAAATCTTTGTTCGTAGTTTTTGATGTCCATTTAGTTTCTTTTTTCCTATATAGGTAAATACTATATACTTTGTAAAATATGTTTTCTGATAAATTGTATATGCAGTAAACTGTTTACCAGTTTACTTCATGTACAATTCTACTTATTTATAGCGCTTTCCTGTAAGTGCTGTAAGAGGTGGCTTAAGGAACTTAATAGTAGAGGGATGGGCAGCGTAAAAGAGGCGAGGCATTCCTCATAAAAAATCTCTAAAAACCTAACTGCGGTTGCCCAACCCGCCAACCAAGCGTGGCAACTACTGGCAAAACCCCCCAAGGAGGAAGCTAGTGTTCAGCAGAGAACAGTTAATGACTCATATGATGAATGATTTATCAAATCAAATGTCAGAAATTCGCATCTGATACCTAGAGAGTTGAAGGTGTCCATAGGCTACAGTGACCGTTTACCATCAGACGGGCTGTATATTCATTTGCCACCTTCGTGATAAAAAAAATAATGTATATTTGATGTCAGTCATTACAAAGCGGATAAATATCCAAGAAAATCGAATGGAGCCCATGGATATACAAGTAAACTAGCGTGGAATAAATCATCTTCGACCACGAGTCCACAACAAAAAATTGGAGCTAACTGCGAATTCTTGTTTTCGTGCAGCAAAAACAGCCCACTTTCTCACATTAAACGAAAGGGCTCATTTAAGTCGGCCACTCGATTTAATAAGCCCTTATTAACGTTATTACTGTACAACTGTCACTTGTCAGTACTGCTCATGATTTCACAGCTCGTTCGATAAATGAATGTGCGACGTTTAAATCTATCAAGTTCGCGTTCTTGACGTGCGGTAAAATAATTTAAGATTTTCATCAACAAAAAAAAAAGTGGTTACAAATAAGGTAAGTGACAAAATTAGTAAACGACTAACGTGGATATCGATTGCAAATATAATTCGTAGTGGATGCGTAATTAATAAAGATATTTATTTCTAATTAAAATTACTGAGCATTTTATCAAATCTGGACTTAATTGCAAAAACTTATTTATTCATTAGAAAAAAGAATTTTTAATGAATAAATAGGTATAAGTACTCTTATTGATATTATTCATCGAAAAGAATAAAAGAACATAATAAGTAATAGATTCGTTGTATGGATGCAAGTACAATAAAGTGATCTTACAACTGAAAGCGATCTCTTTACGACAACTTTACGATAATGGCTTTTATTATGGTATTATTTATTTATTAAAGAAACACTAAGAACTAAAAACTTTTACTATAAAAACAACAACAAAGATATTAATAAAGTTTTTACAAATAAAAACAAAAATTAACTAATATGTCATGCATATGACATTGCTAATGTGTATGCAACTAAATTGAAGAAATACGTACAAACAGTGTAGATAAGCAGTTATGCAAAATAAAATATATAATTATTCTTAAGAATAACTATAATATCATATATTTAAAGAATAAGCATGTATCTCCCTATTGGACTACATTTTTAGAAACAAAAACTAATGTGGAGCAACAAACTTAATCTATTACAAACAGAATTATAAAAATCGATTCAAAATTAGCGTCATGTACCATAGTCACAAAAACAGACAAATCAAAACCTCGTTTTTTTCGCACTTAAAAAGGGTGCACGCTAAACTAGCATACATATAGTAGGTTAGTAAAAAATGATACAATGCATCGACTCCAATAACTTGGAATAAATGCGGGATCGATCTCGATTCTCCACACGACGGCAGTCACTCAGCGTGCTTTATTTTCCTGCTCACTGGAATTGTCACATGAGCTTAATAGGTTATTAACTTCATACAAACAGTACCGCCTACATAAACATAACTGTAATATTTGATATAATGTTTATACCTCTTGGCAATACAGATGGTGCGACTGATATGAAAGTTTAAAATGCACATGGACGAATATTCTCTAACCTTCCTTTTTATAACCTTCCTTTTAAATAAAAAAAAAAAAACATTATTAGCTGTATTTATAAGATATTAAGTATGTAAGTCATTATGTAGGGGACCTGTGGACTTTCCATATTATTTTTTTGTAAATTATTATAAATAAAATATAGATCGATTTTAAATTTTTAGAATCTTTGCTTAAAAACAGGATCAATATTTAATTCTTATTCGCACTAATTAAAAACAAATATTTTGAGTTGAGTTTGTTTGTTTGGTTTCTAATTTGATATATCTAATTTAGATAAAATTGAACAAAACAATACTGTATTCTCTCTGCTTATTTTCTCCAGCGTGAAGGTAAAAGACAAAAACTTGATAATGACAAAAATAACATTTTCTAAAGTCCTCTACATAGATAGGAAGGGGCAAACAAACTGAATTTTCCCAGGGCACATCCCAAATCGATCCCTAACAATAAAAAAGTAATTCGTTCCACTAACTCACTAAAACAATACATTAACAAGTAAGTAGTTTATAAAGGGGAGACGAACTAGGGTGAACTAATAGAGCAATCAGCTACCAGTGCTACCACTCGATGTTTCGATATCGATTCGATTATTCCGATTGGGAGCGCAGTATTGCAATGAGTCATTTGCGATTAATCGAATGTTTGTTTCGCATCGAACAACAGAGATTTCCCCTTCAGGTTTAACCCAGATAAGCCTGAAACTAAAATTTTCTGAAAATTTTGAAAAAAGTTACATTATTTAGTTTATTACATCTTATGCAACATAAAAAAAATTATGAAAAAAAAATTAAGTGTAAGGCTTTCAGGGAAACAGCCGTCCTATATGTAGGACAGTAGGATAATAAGAGGAAATAAAAGACCATTTATGACAAAACAGAATGTAATCAAAAAGTGTAGTTTATTAGATAACTATTGATTATATTACCCATTGTTATATGTAATTTACTAGATTAACACTATTTATGAATGATATGTTTCAAAACACTTGACACACACTCCAACATCACATTTCTTGCAACGTGTCAAACATTTTTTGTGACATTGACGACAGCGTGTTTGCTTCGATTGAGGAATAACCAGATGATTCATTTGGTCTTTACGACTATCAGCATGTTCATGATGGGAGGGTCGGCTAGGCCCTCTTTTGGCATTTTTTCTGTTTGATTCAATCAAAGCAATTGCTACCCTTCTGCGAAAGCCAAGATGATCCAGTTTTCCATGATTTATTTTATATAACTGCCATGCATTATGTTCGGCAAGATCAATCATGTGTGTGAGCAACGGCATGTACCATTTCTTACCTCGTATACCAATTCGGTAATGT